AACTGTCAACCTCTATCCTTCTGATCACTCCAAACTGTTAACCTCTATCTTTCTGATCACTCGAGACTGTCAACCTTTATCCTTCTATTGTTCTAGGCTATTAGAATATGTTTCATAACAAGAAAAATTTTCAATATTTTATTATTCCTATTCATCATTGAATTTCTCATTCTCCTGCTATATTCATTCTCATTTCTCTCACAGAGAATCAAAAGAAAAAAAAGAGAAGAAAGAAGGGAGAAGATATAAAATGTACCTTTCGACAAGTTCCAAGAATTGGAGCAGGTGCCCATCCATGTGGTTCACATATCAGTACATCGAAACCATTCACAACATATCCATTAAAACATTCCAGCTCAGCAACTGTTCCAATCGTTATATTACTTTCACTATCCGTCAGATATTTCACCTGTACGCATCGATATACGTTAGTTTGTTAAATTCATTACAACTAATCTTTTCTTTCCTTTCAAAGTTAATTTCATTCGATTTATTCAATTCCTTTGTCATATGCTTGATCTCTCTTATTTATCTAATTCCAGTAACGTTTAAAGTTAGTAGGTATAGCTAAGAAAATTTTCCTTTATAATTTTGAATTTATATTCAATGAGGATTATTTTGAAATTAATTCAAATAAGAAATTAAAAACACTCTTCTATATTCAATAATTCTCGTAAAGTAATAGGATTGTCTTGAAGCTAAAGCAAATCCTTCATTTATACAATTTCTTATTTCATCAGTTATAATTGTTTGAATTACTCTAAAAATTTTGTTAGAAAATTTTTAGGAAATGAGTGAAAAATTTATACTGCAAAATATTCTTTTTTGATTTTCAAAAAATGTTACTGATTAAAAATGCCACATGAAGTTTGATCTACTCATCAAAAAAAAGGAAATTGAAAAAAAAAACTATATTAAATTAAAATCCTCAAATCATTTGTGGAATTTCAAATTTTTAAATTTGCTAACCTTTCCATTTTGCACTGCTGGAAGTGGTGCACAACTGGTGTTACCAGTTGGTTGACAAATTCCAAGTTTTAAGGTAGACCATTGACCATTATAACATTGAGCTTGCCTGTTAAAAATTGGATGATAGTGATCAGTGCATATCAGATAAGCCAAAGTACCACTGGGAAAATTGATGTTACCATGTTGATTGTATCGAATATAGCCATTTTCGTGTGGCGGTAATGGAGCGCAACTTTTTGGTATTTCTAAAAAATTAAAAAAAAATTTTTTTTTTTGTGATATCACAAATAAGACAACAAATCAATGAGCTAATTTAGTGAGCAAATTTGATGTTTATTTTTGAGGATTAAAATTTTTAATTGCTCAACTTTCTAAAGATCTTTTTTTAAAAAAAAAAAAGAAACATTGTATAGTTACCGTTAGAAATTGGTATACATTCACCAATCTCGTCCGTTGGATACCAGGTACCAGTAATACAGGCTATTTGATTTTGCGTTGATGGCTTGTAGCCTTCATTACAGTTTAATATTGCAAAACTTCCCATCATTATTGTTTCCGAATTTTCCGATGCTTCTGATAGCTTATAAATTACCTTTAAAATTATAATATATAAGCAAATAATATTTCATTATTGACATTTGCTAAAAAATTTTGAAATTTATTACACATCAAATTTTATTTAAACATAAAAAACAAATAAAAAAGCATATAAAAAGCATAAGCATATATAATTAGTAAAATTACGACATTGTTTTAAAAAAAAATTCTAGTAATTTACCTGTCCATTTCTTACATTTTGAATTGGTGTGCAATCTGTGGGATCTTTGGTGCCAGTGATTTCATTATTATTACTTCTGCTACTACCACTTTTGCTACTACTATCTTTCCATCCATAACAGATAGGATGAAGTTCTCGAACATAACCATTGATTAATTCATTTGCACGAAAGGAATATGCATAACCTATAGGAATGAAAATAAAGGGATATTAATTCGAGTTTAAATTATGAATTTTAGTCTTAGTTAGAAAACAAAACATGTTTATGTTTACTATTATTAATTAATTGATTTCTATTCTTATATCGATAAATTGGTGCATTAGCTCCACAATTTCCGAATGATTGAGCACAAAACAATTCTTTAGGTCCACTGATATCGACATAGCCTGATGGTGGTGGATGTCCCTTATTGTCTTGATGTAGTACAACTCCTGGATAATACAGATTAAATGAATTGTTATGAAAGGAATTAAATTCTTATCTAAAATAATAAATAATTGCTATTTCTAATAATATCAGAAATTTATTTACTAGGTAAAATTTCGGATTTTCAAACTTTAAATGAGAATTAAATAAGTAGGAATTTATTTCTTTTCAGCTAAATTTTCATGCTATATTTGAAAATTTATTTAAAATGATACTTTTATTTTCATTTTTCTATCTTTAGCAAAATATCATAATTTTATAATTTATGGAATTTTCGAGGATAAAGAAAGAAAGAAAGAGAAAGAAAAGGAAAAATTATCAACCATCAGTGGATCGTATATTTGTGGATAGTTTCAATGTACAACGTTCAGGACAAGCTGTTGGAATTCCACTATTTAGAAATATTTCATCCGAACTGGAATTAGTGAAATATTCTTGTTTCAACTCGCTGCTGCCAATACGGTAGATTTTTGATGTTTGATTAAAATATTTTGTCCATATCAGTACTGGTACTGTAAATATTATCATTAAATAGTTTTTAGTTATCACTCAAAAATTACCCATTAGTAATTCAAAAAGAAGCAAAAGTTAATTTCACTTAATTCGTTCAAAAAAAAAAGCTTTCAAATTTGAATTGCTAATAAAGCTGAATAGATTAAATTATAAAAAGTTTAATTATGGATAAATAGGTGTGAATAGCAGAGATAATATGCGCTGTTTTCATTTTATCCTCTGATTTGATTATAATATTTTTAATAAAACTTAAAATAACTTAAAATTTAAATTATTCTTGGGAAAAAAATGAACTTCAAATAACGGGTCAATGCTTTTTTATAAATTTAAATTTCATATTTCTGTTTGCAATTTCATCATCGAATTAAAACTCAAAAATAATGATAAAGAAAGAAAATAATAAGACATTTTGCCAATTAAAATTTCCAAATCACACACAAATGTGAAAATAATTTTTTTCTAAACTAAACATTTAAAAATGAAATGATGCGGAAATTCCGAGAAAACTTACTAAGATTGTTTGGATAGCCACCAGGTGGGCATGTAATCGTTCCAGAATGAACTGGCTTGATTATGCTAATTGAAAGAATGAAATATATCCAATAATTATAATCGAGCATCAGATAATTCAGGTTTATTTCTTTCACTATTATCAATTATCACCTCACCAAATGATATCTTCAAATTTGGAGGATACCGATAATTTTAATTAAATCAATGAAAAAATTGAGCTAAAAAGAAGCCGCATTGAATGAAATGATATGACGAGAGATGAAATAAATTATCGCAAAGTAATGTGAACACTAAACTACTTTACAAACCAAAATTTAAAAAGAGTAATCCACAAAAATCCTGTTTATATTCAAAGAAATCTAGGAATGAATCCGGAAACGGACATTCATTTGTCACAAATCTAAACGTGATATCACAGA